TTTGTCTGGTACCAGGAATAACTCTGGTTATTACTACTATTATTCTGCTGGTCAGCTCACATGCATTTTCATGTTTAATCCTCACCAGGGCTCCATGAGGTGGGACTATTATGATCTTTGTTTCACAGATGAAGAACCTGGGGCTCAGAGGGGTTCCATGACTTGCCCAAGGACACACAGTAATAAATTATTACAATAGGGACATAAACCCAGGCCTGTGTGAGGCCAGAGTTCAGGCTCTTAGTCACTTTACTCTCCTGCCCCAGGTCACCTTCTGACCTATTAAATTATGGAAGTGGGCTTAGAATCAAAACAACTATCCAAACAAGTGTTGGTCCGTGACCAAGGAAGGCTGACCTATAAAGTCCTTGTTGGAACCTTCTCTCCTGGACAACTCCGCCTGGCCATCCCCTGCTTGACCTCTGCCTCATTCGGGACCCCGATCACATTCTGTCTTCTGCTGTGATTTCCTTCAGGGCTAACACTGAACCTTCTGCTGCCTTTTTTTTTTTTTTTTTTTTTTTTTAATCTCAGCCTGGTGCAGAGAGAGGGATGCAAGCGCTTTGGAGCCAGACAACAATGCTTTGAATACCAATGCTGCTTGCTCTGTGCGTGGGCTTGGCTATGTCACAGAATCTCTCTGAACCTTAGTTTCCTCATTTGTAAAGTAGGGGTCATTCCTACCCTGCATTGTCACGAAGATTCAAGTACATGTCCACGGAACACCCAGCACCGTGTCTGGCACACAAGTAGCTGGACTCACCACCATTGGCTCCCTTGACACTTAACTATCACTAGGGTTCCGTGTCTTGATCTCATCCGTCTTTGATTCATGCCTATGTACCTAGCACAGTGACTTACACACGATAGGTGCTCTGCTAGATGACTAGTTGGATTGAAAAGAGGAACAAGCTAGAGAGGGAGAACCATGCCCACTGCCCGGTCACAGGTGAACAACATCCTCCCCTAGATCCCCAGGTCGCCTGTAGCCTCTGTCTCCCCACGCATCAAAGTCAGTGCCAGCTTCTCCAGAAAGCTCACAGAAATGGGAGCTTGCAACATCAGAGGCTTCTAATGTAATCAGATGGATAATGAAAAGGTTCTTCTTTCCCAAGCCTTGAATGAGTCAGAGCTCTATGCTTGGCTTTGCCCCAGGGAGTACCGAGAAAATGAAATATCGTCTGCACCCTCATGACACCTAAACAAATGGTCAGTTACGTGGGTCAGATATCAAGCCAGAGGGGTTAAGAGATTCTCCAGTGAAGGGAGAGAGGAGCACCCAAGAAGGACCCTTAGCAAAGGCTGCTGAGTGGGGTCCTGGTACATGGCTGCTCTTAAGGCAAAGCCCTGTTTGCCTACGGTGGGATGTTTTCTTTGCCTCCATCAAAGGCGCCAGTAAATGACACTATGTCTGAAATCTACAAGGATTTTGAACCTCTCTGTCTGGCTCAATCATCTCTTCCACATTCTGATGCCTGTATCAAGACATAATTCTCATCGAGGTAACAAACTATTCTCTTTCATGACAAGTATGAAGCCACTGTGAATCTCAGGTTTGCTCTGTTTTGTTTTTGTTTTTTTTTTTTCTGGCCTTCAGCCACCATAGAGAAATGTCTGCTAGGCTGAGTATTCACCTTGCCGCTGTTTTCTGTGATTATGTAGACAGGGCCTCTGTAAATTCAATAGGGGTATTGCTGGCTGTTCAATAGCTGGTGAAATTAATGCCCAGGGAAGCAGGAAATAGGCCACCACAACCAAAATGTGGACTAAGAATTTGCTCTTCATCCTGTCCCACCTCTTCATTCCCCACATCTCTGCCTTTGTGCTAATTGCCAGCTTTCTGCCAGCTTACTAGCATTCTCTTGCTAGTATTCTCTCCATTTCTCCTTGGAATACAGCAGTGAAGAAGCCCCATCATCCTAGACTTGAAGATACGTGGGGATGGTGGGGACCGAGTCTCCAGCAACCTACTCCCACCACCCCTATACATGGTATGTGGGAAAGGGAGTAAGGAGTTACCCTCAGACAATTCCTTATCCAATAAGGGAGGTTGACCACCTGGAACTAGAAGGCCTCAAAAGACCATCAGGCCCAGACCCTATTTCCAGGGATTAAGGGGGGACCCAGAACCAAGGACAGTCTCTTTTCTCCATAAGGACTTTGGCAGAGGGCTTCCCAGGCCAGCCCAGCCTCCCCCCACTGTGTAAGTCCTGAGTGGCTGTCAAGCTGGCTTCCCTCTGGGGCAGGAGAAGAAGCACAGCTCTGTAAGGCAGGGAAGTGGGGTTTGGTGACCATCATCCCCTCTGCCCTGACACTACCTCCCATGTGGGAAGATGTACAAGTGAGGGTTCTCATAGTTCATGAATAGCTGAATCTCTACAAAAATGTGAGTCTTTGATTTTAAAACTTTCAAAACAACATAAGCCAGTTTAATTGAAGCAGAAAAAAATCTGTTTTCAGGGCTGCCTCTTCTACAGGTTTCTTAATCACAGAGAACACACTGAAAATGTGGATTTTGTGCATTTGGAAATTGTGTACTCTGGTGGGATAAGATTAAAGCCTTAGATAGGTGTATGATAATTACCTGCACCCTCCAAAAATATGCAAAAATAGAAAGAGGTTAAGAACCTACCTGCATGAGGAACCCAATTGCAAATCACACTAAGTGACTTCCTGGTGCCCACGCTGAATAACAGTGGGCTGAGGGTTTTGCTTTCCAACCTCCAGCTATCTCTGCCCACTGCTCTGCCACGTGTCTACTAACCATCTGACCTCAGGAATGTACTAACTGTCTCCATCACAGTTTTCTCATCATCAAAGGAAAATGCTTATGGCTCTCTTAAAGGATTGTTGTAAAGCATAAAAGAAAAAGAATAAGCGTCTGGCTATCAGTAGAAGCTCAATAAATGTGAGTTTCCTCCCAGGACTTAATAGCTCAGGTTTTCTGAGCTAATAGCTTCTAACATTTACTGCTTAGAAGACAACTCCACCTCTAGCAGTCAACCCACCCCCCTACCTCGAATATAAATTGATACCATCACTATGAAAATAGTACAGAGGTTGCTCAAAAAATTAAGAATAGAATGACCATCTGGTCCAACAATCCCACTCCTTGGTATCTATCCAAAATAGGATCTCAAAGAGATACCTACCATTCCACATTCATTGCGACATTATCATTCACCATAGCCAAACATGAAAACAACCTAAGTGTCCGTCAATGAAAGAGTAAATAAAGATACATTATATATGTTATATATACACATGAAATATTATTCAGTCATGAGAAAGGGTATCGTGCCATTTGCAGCAATTAAACTCATGAAGCTAATTGAAATAAGTCAGACAGAGAAAGACAAAAACTATATAGTATCACTTATTTGTGAGCTCTAAAAGAGCCATACTCATAGAAACATATTTGAGGGGCCTCCGTGGTGGCACAGGGATTAAGGACAGCGCTATTAAGCTATCCACAGTCACTGCAGCACAAGTTCCATCCCCAGCCAGGGAGGTGACCCACATGGCGCAGCACACCTCTCCTGTCTCACCCGCTGCTCCCCTCAGCAGTGTATTTCAATAGATCTGCCTGTTCTGCTCTCTACTCTGTCTCAATGAATCCATTCACCCCCGCACTTCCACCCCAGTTCTTGTATGCATAAATAAATAAATCTTTAAAAAAAGAAACATATTTGAGCGGTGGTGACCAGGCCCTCGGCTGCAGGCAGCAGGGGTCAGATGTGGGCCAAAGGGGACAAATTTCCAGTTACAAGATGAATACGTTCTGGGGTATTAATGTACAGCATGGTGACTGTAGTTAATAATATAGAATACATACTCGAAGGTTGCTGCTGGTAGATCGTAAATGCAATCACCACGAAAGAAAAGGTAATTGTGTGACATGACAGAGGCATTAGCTAAGGCTGTGGTAATCATTCTGCAATATAGAAAAGTGATTAGTTAATACACTGCATACCTTCAACTTCTGCAATGTTATATGTCAATTATATCTCAATAAATCTGAAAAAAAAAATCCAGCCCCAACTTTGTTCCCAGGGGGGAAATGTGCCACAAGAGCTAAGTGTCCAACTTTAGCTCAGAGTTGGACCCAGAGTTGGGCTCAGTTCCCAGCTTCCTCTCCTTGATGACTGTGAGGACTTGGGCAAAGAGTTCACTTCACTCTACCTCGGTGTCCCATGCACAAAATGGGAATGATGATAACAGTCTTTCTCTCACAGGGTGATGAGATAATGCAAAAAGCGCTCAGCACACTGTCTGGGACATACCCATGTTGGCCATCTGTTAACTAGCATAAGGACTTCTCCCCGCTTCCTCTAGCCCCGTTATACTGTGCTTCCTAAGTCCCATTCACCCACCACTGGGAGTGTGTCCCTACAGCTGAATGTCCAACATGGATATCAGGCAAAAGGGAGAAGAATCAACAGATAATCCAGATTCCCCAAGCCCCTTCCCCAGCTGCTGAAAGGTCTCGTTCCCCAGCCCCAGATGGCCCCAGACCTGTCCCTCATCTCTTTCATGACTTGACTCACTTTACCCACTCCCCAAGCACCCATTTAAAACGTCCAAACCACCCACCCCACCCCCATGCACACACACACCCCATTCATTGTACTTCTCCTCTTTGCTTTATTTTCTCCGTAGCACCAGTTTCCACAGGACACACCTCATAATTTGCTTACTTCTCTGTTTATTGTCTGTCTCCTCCATAGAAGTTAGGCTCTGAAGGGCAGCGGTTCTTGTCCATATTGCCCTTAATCTCTATGCCCTCAGCACTTAGAACCGAGGCTGGGGGAGGCAGGGGTACTCAGTGAACAAGTGAGTGAGTGAATGAATGAGTGAGTGTCTGAATCTGTAAATGACTGAGTGAATGAGTAAATGACGCCTCCCAGTTTTCTTGTGAAACCAGAGGTTCACAGGGAGGTAAAGGATGTGTGTTGGTCTCAGATCTCACCTGCCTCAACTTGGACTTCTTCCTCTTGTAGGTGCCGGGCAAGTTGCCTCTCCCCCTAAATCTGGGGGCTCACTCCAGCAGTCCCTGCGCATCAGAGGTAAGTACCTCCAGACCCCACTTTTGAAACTGGAGAGCAAATAGGAGGGAAATTCCTCCCAGCGGGACACCTGGGCTGGGGGGCCGGGTGATCTCCATGCCCAGTTCGCTCTGCTCCCTCCCACCCGAGCTTCCAGGCTTGCCCACGGGGTCGCGCGGTGGGGGGATGCGCGGCGGGCCAGGGTGGCGGCGTCGGGGCTGCGGGTGCCTTGGCTGGACCCGCATTGCCCCCTAGTGCCGCGCGGAGTCAGGGCGCCGGGCTCCCCCGCCTGATGTCACCGCCGAGCAGTCAGCCCAGAGGCGGCTCATTGAAAGCAGACCCTCCTCGGCGCTGCTGGGCGGAGGCGCCTTGGCCGCAGACCCGCTGCGGGGCCGGGCGAGCTGGGCGCCCCTGCCCTGCGCCCCTGCGCCCCTGCGCCCCGGCGCCCGGCGCCCTCGCCAGCCCGGCCAGCGCGCCTGACGTGGACCATTAAACTTGGAGCTGCCGCCTCGTCCCCTCTCTCCTCCTCCTCCTCCCTCTGACAGGCGAGCCGGCAAGCGGCTCGGTGGAGACAGGAGACGTGCTGCCGGGCTGGGCGGCCCGCGGAGATGACTTCTGGCCCGGAAGGCGCTTCGGGAAAGCCGACCACGGGGGCAGCAAAGTTTCGGGGCAGCTGAGGAGCCTTGGCCGCAGCCCTTCCAGCCCAATCACCCCCCTGGCTATGGAGGGCGGACTCTAAGATGAATCCCGACCTGGACCCCGGCCACAACACATCAGCACCTGCCCACTGGGGAGAATTGAAAGATGCCAACTTCACTGGCCCCAACCAGACCTCGAGCAACTCGTCGCTGCCCCAACTGGACATCACCAGGGCCATCTCCGTGGGCCTGGTGCTGGGCGCCTTCATCCTCTTTGCCATCGTGGGCAACATCCTAGTCATCCTGTCTGTGGCCTGCAACCGGCACCTGCGGACGCCCACCAACTACTTCATCGTCAACCTGGCCATCGCCGACCTGCTGCTGAGCTTCACTGTGCTGCCTTTCTCCGCTACCCTGGAGGTGCTGGGCTACTGGGTGCTGGGGCGGATCTTCTGTGACATCTGGGCGGCCGTGGACGTCCTCTGCTGCACAGCCTCCATCCTGAGCCTGTGCGCCATCTCCATCGATCGCTACATTGGGGTGCGCTACTCCCTGCAGTATCCCACGCTGGTAACCCGCAGGAAGGCCATCTTAGCGCTCCTCAGTGTCTGGGTCTTGTCCACGGTCATCTCCATCGGGCCCCTTCTGGGGTGGAAGGAGCCAGCACCCAATGATGACAAGGAATGCGGGGTCACCGAAGAACCCTTCTACGCCCTCTTCTCTTCCCTGGGCTCCTTCTACATCCCGCTGGCCGTCATTCTGGTCATGTACTGCCGCGTCTACGTCGTGGCCAAGAGGACCACCAAGAACCTGGAGGCCGGAGTCATGAAGGAGATGTCCAACTCCAAGGAGCTGACCCTGAGGATCCACTCCAAGAACTTTCATGAGGACACGCTCAGCAGTACCAAGGCCAAGGGCCACAACCCCAGGAGTTCCATAGCTGTCAAACTTTTTAAGTTCTCCAGGGAGAAGAAAGCAGCCAAGACCTTGGGCATTGTGGTCGGTATGTTCATCTTATGCTGGCTACCCTTCTTCATCGCGCTGCCACTGGGTAAGTCGGGGAACCGTGGCGGGGGGAGACAACCGGGCATTTTTGGATCTCGGGTTTCCTGATGAGCTTGCTGTAAAGTTGTTTTGTTTGGGTTTGGGTTTTTTGGTTTTGGTTTTTTTTTTTTTTTTTTTTTTTTTTAATCAGTCTGTGTGTGTTTGGAGATTGGAGAATATTGTTTGCTCTGCAAAGGCTTTGCAGATTGAGCAGCTGGCTAAGCACCAACTCAGGTGTTAGTGGAACATGCTAAGATACTAGTCCCTGGAAATAGAACCACTGGAGGAAAATCTGGGATGTGGAATGACTCACTCAACAGCCTGGGTTTAATAATTAAAAAGGACACTGGACTTGAACATCACACGGCGTAATTTCAGTAGTAACGATGTGCTGGCTGAGGCAGCGTCACTAATGCAGCATACAAAATAGTTTGTAGTTACCGCAGACGCGGCATTTGGGCAGCAGGCAGGCAGCTTTCATTCAGCATTTCCAGGGCGCTTGCAGAGAGCCGCGCTTCTCAAGGGCTTTGCAGAGGCGGCCTCCTCCTTCCTCCTCCTGCTCCTCCACCCTCCACACACACCTCTCTCATCCCCAGTCCCCATCTCAACACACTCCCTCAGGATCAGCTAGCAGGAGCATTTTCCAGCCGCCTAGCCTGACCAGTCTTTAACTTAGCTGAAGCTTGGAATTGGAAAGCAAAGGAAGATGACCAGAGGGTCACACCTCAGCTTTCACCCCTAAATGTTCCTGACTTGTGATTTCTTGGATGCCCAGGTTTAAATTATAATTGTCCCTCACTTCAGCTGCCAGACACGGGTCCTGCTAAGATGGAATTGAGCCCTTCCTCGCCTATAAAAATGTGTTACTCTTCTTTTGTCTGGGGGGCCAGCTGAGTTGTTCAAAAGGCTAGCCGATTTCTTCTAAAGACGGAGCCGAGGTCTGGTTAAGAGGTTGCCCTAGGAGAGGGGACAGTGACACGTTGTCCACATGGCTTGGGAGCCCCAGGACCCTCTGAAAGTCACTGTCCTGATTGGATTTCTTTTCCTCCCCCTGGGGCCACTACAGAAGATGAATGGAGGGAGGCCCTCCTGACGCCGCCGTGTGCCATGATGTCAGAGGGTACCGGCTGTCCATACCGGGGAACACATCCTCCTGCAGCCATACCAGCGGCTCCGTTAGAGCCGACCAGAGCCCAGACCCTCAAATAGCAAGCTTTCAGAGAACACGTTGCTGCCAAGAGAAAGGAGCAAGTGGAAAGAAAGCAAGTCCTGATGCCAGGACTTTTCCTTCTAAAGAGATAAAGCCTACTCGCTGGTCTTCTCTAAGGCAGGCTTTCGAGCTAATCTCTTTTAGAAATTTTGGCAGCATGTTCAGTGGGAAGGGTTTGAAGTTCTGCCTCTAGAAGGGACCAATGCCACTGCAGAGAAGCCTTCTCTTCTTTCTCAAAGTCTCAGGGTGCCTTGTCAAGCTTGTTGTACTAAAGAGGGTGGCAGGTCACCCTCATGCAAAAATCATGGTCATCCATGGAAGGGATTTGACCACTTAGGCAAGTGATCTTGGGCAAGTGACCACTCCTCTGGGAGCCTCAGTGTCTTCATCTGCAAAATAGAGCTAAGTACTATGTGGCCTGTGGGATTTGCTCTAATGCATGAAAGCGACTTGATACAGTACCTGGTGCACAGTGGCATGAAAGTCAGTTCTTACTACTATAAACCAAACCCCAATAACCCTCGCTATAACTGGGCATTTTCTCCTTCTCTGCCAGCCCCACACCTGTTACCCAAGCTCTCAGGAGAACTAGATCTTTCTCCTTGCGTCTGCATCTGTCCCTGAGCCCATGGAGGCTATGACCAGAGCCTGCATCCTCAGGGAGAGGTGCCCAGTAGGGTGCCAGAGGGTTCAAAGAAAGGTGGGAAGGTGCAGGCTTTCACCCCAGGGGGTGCAAGAAACAGTTCCAGATAGGTGAGGGGGCCATGCCATGTGGCGATGGAGAGAGCAGGGCTCTGGGGTATGTTAGGGTTAGGGCTAAGGTGAGGGGCCACAGGGATCCTATTTGAGCTTCACCTTCAATTGCTGTTGCCCTTGACTTGTTGCTTTCCCTGTGTGGGCTTCAGATCTCACTTCCGGAGAACAGGGTTGGACTAGATCAAGGGCTCTCAACCTATAACAAAGAACAGGACCAATCAGAAACATGCAACTTCTTAGGCCTGACAGGGAATCTGCTGGGTCTCTGGCATCCGCATACTTAACCAGCCCACCAGGCATTTCCAAAGGGGTTTTCCACAGACTAGACTTTGGGAGCACTGGCCAGAGGATCTCTGAGTGACCTATAAGCTCCAGCCTCCTGGATGCCAAGGTTTTAAATGCACCAAACCTTTTAGCCATTCCCCAGCCACACAGCAAAATGACCTTGCCGCTCTAACATCTCAGGTCCCTAACTTCCACCCCATAGAAAGTGACACTCCTGTCACCCCGCTGTTTTCCGTGCTTGTGAAAACTTTCTGACCATCTATGCTGATCTCCCAGGGTGCTTTTCCGGGCTGACTCCACCACTCCCTCTCCACTGGGAACCTGGGCTTGGTAGCAAAGGAACACAGCCTCTGGGCCTGGGGGTTCAGGATGGACTCAAAGGCCTCAAACTGTGAGGGTACTTCATTAACATGTCCCTAAAAATTTAGGAAGAGCATCCAAGCAAAACAGAGTTGTGGGTTTCTACTTCCTCTGAGTTCAAATAACACCCAATAAAAGTGACTGGGTGTAGGACTCCTTTGGCATCTGAAGAAGTTTCCAACTGGTAAATTTTCTATGAAAGCTTTTTCACTCATAGGAGCAAAAGCAGATCTGCAGGTAGAAGCGTTTTCCAACTGGCAATAGGCGTCAGGTGCCTGGATGGCAGGACACTTCCAGAGCTGTGTTTGTCTTCTCCGTGGGAGAGAAGGGTTGGAGTCCTCCTGGGAAGGAAGGAAAATAGCCTTGCCCCCTACTGGATCCATATCAGGAGCCTATCTGTTTTCCTCCCTCCCTTATTTTTATTTTTGGGAGCAGGGTTGGGCTGCCTGCAGAGCTGCCTGCTGCGTCCTTCCCACCTGTGACCCCTCCTTCCTCCTCCCTACCCTAGCCCTGTGGCCTCAGACCAAGTTGGGCCAGGGAGCAGATCTCACTGGCCCCAGAGCTAGATGGACTCCACTAAACAAAGACCTCTTTATTGGACCCCTGGAATCCGGCTATGGAGGGACAGGAAGTAAGTGGGATATGGTATCGCTGCGGTTCTACTCAATGGGCCACGTGCAAGATGGCCAAGCAGGCTTCAGCTGCCAGGGGTTATAGTGAAGGCCAGCTCCTGCCTGCCTGGGGAAGGCCTGCTCAGGGTCTCCAGAAGTGGCTGGGCTGTTGAGGGATATGCATTGCCTAGGGGGGACAGTGGGGAGGACAGGAAGTAGTGCTGGGCAGCTAACTGGTGGCTGGGCTCAGGGAGTTATTTAGAAAACACTGGAACCTTGCTTTGCTCCAAATCTTTCTTCTGTCTTTTTAAATGCTGAAAGGACCAGGAAGCCATTATTGAACTAACTGCTTTCCCCTCCAAGTAAGTGAAGGTCGATTTTAAAGAATAATCGGGCTCTCCTTAGTACAGGAACCAAAGAGGAGCCCCTCTCTCTTCCCATTTGCTCCTCCCATCCCCTCATTCAAATTGGGGCTGATGCATCCCCACTGCCCACCAGAGCAGAGGGAAAGCAGGGGTCTCATAGAGGACACAGGACAGAACGGCCCCCACAAACACGCACACTTACTCACCCTCCAGCTATGAGGATCCCAGACAGAGGGTTGAGGTGCTCACAAGGAAAGCAATTGACAGAAGGGGAAAATTTTACACAGAGAATCAGGGCATCCTTCCTGGAAGTGGGGAGTCCTAATGAAGGAACATATATCCAACCATGTATGGAATCATTAATAAAGGCTTCCTAAAGCACCTACTATGTGCTGGGCACTGTACTACTTACTGGACTATTGAGCTAGAAATAAACACAGCCCCTGCCACAGAAGTCTGACAGCCTCATCGTCGTGAGATCGTGTTATTATATAGTACAAACTAAGAGCCCACATTCAATAGGCCCCCTGCAGACATTGCCTCCTATTCCTCACAGCTACCCTGACAGGAAAGAACCATGGTCCATCTCTGCAGACTGTACTGAAGCTCAGAGAGGTTAGACTTCTTGCTGTAGGTCACACAGCAGTGATAGAGCCAAGAGTTGAAACCACCTCTGTCAGAACAAGCACATGCCTGCTCCATGGCACACACAGGATGTCTGGCCTTCCGCTCTCTTGTCCCATCTTGCTTTCATAGCCAGTGTTCTCCAGGAACCCCAGATTATTGTTCTTCTGCCATAAAACCCTGCCTTTCTTCTACCCACACCCCCATGTAAACCCTGAAAAATGACTCACTCAGAAAATGTCAGAGGAAGGTAATATACTCTCTCTAGCTTGGAGCTAGATTTTCTCCATGCCCTGCACACTGGAGGCTGGGAGTTTCTCAAGGTGGGGCATCAGGTTGTCCATCAAAGGAAAAAGTGGGGTCTGGCCCTTCATGGAGGGCCCTGGCTCCACATCTTTAATCATTTAATTAAGCATGCATTCATTCGCTAGTTGATATTTCATTTATTAGATGTTACTATGTCAAGGCATTGTGCTAAAGATACATTGGCCAAAAAAATGGTGATGTTATGTGTTCTCAGAGAACTTATTTCTGGTGGGAAACACAATCATTTGAAAAGCAGGTGCATATAAATAAATATGAATGCAAATTGTGATAAGTGACTTGGAAAAAATAGGATGAGATGCTATTAGAAGAATATAATAGGAATCAATATAGCTGGGTGTCCCTGCAAACCAGGTTCCCCTTGTTTGAAGCTATTTCAGTAAAGGGGACAGGTGGAAGAAGAGGTTTGGAAAGAAGAGAGGACACCCTTGACAGTCCCGAGGCAACAGGTGGTGTGGTGCAAATGAAGGCT